TGACTGGTTTTAGTACTTTAAAAAATATAAATAGTCGGTGTAACATTTATGTAACAACAAAGAATGTCCACCATGCTGTGAAGCTGAGTTACACTTCAAATCCCAAAATAGCAACGATACTCTTTGGTGTCACGGGATTATAAAATCACATGACTCAATCATTTTATCGTATTCGTTATTATTATTATTGTTGTTATGAATTTGAGTATTCGAAATTACATTGAAAGTTTATTCAAATAAATCTTTACTCGAATAAATGAATAAAACAAATATATAAAATGAATAAAACGAATAAAACATAATTAGAGTAAACGAACAAAACGAATAATTTAAATAATTCGTATAATCAATTTCTTTACCTGGGTCTTCTTCACTTGATGCATATTCCAAATTCGTTATCTGACTTTTGTTTTTTTAACATTTCTAGCTTTTCCCAAATGTGCAGTTTGATTATTTCGTCTTGAAATTTTTTTAATCGGAAGAATGTAAATTTGTTAGTTTGCTGATTGCTTACAAAAAATATGACGATGATTTTCTGAACTGATTAAAAAAAAGCCTTAGTGGTTTGAAGTTGTACAATTTTTTTCAATGTCTTTAGATGAACTGCACAATAGGGGTTGATTTCTTTATGAAACCACTTGAAGTGATAGAATCTTATTAGCAGAATAATATCTCTTAAGATCAGTTAGTTGCATTGTCACTATTCCATTCTGAAATATTTTCACCCAACTGATTAATTTTAGTCTTTTGGTTTTTGATGAAAGATCTCCCAGCTTGATTTTTTTTTTCTTTCTTCTCTTCCTTTTCTTCTAAATTTTCAATTTGTCCAAATCTCATTGAATAATGTGATTTTCACAAATTATATCTTTACAATTATCACGAAGTATTTTAAATGATAATTGATATTCTAATGAAATTCTATAAATTTCAAAATGTTGGAATGGGCCTTAAAAGTTTTAGCATTATCCTCAATTCCAACTTTAATTTCAATACCATAACAATCAAATTTGTCAAGCAAGCTTGTTAGATCATTTACGAGCTTAATAATACGTTTTAGTGGGAGAGCAACATTGTTAGAGTTGACAAAATTGGTAAGGATAAAAAATTAATTGACTTTTTGAAGGAATTTATTTTGAAAAAAATAAGTTGTTGATCAATAATCGATCATTTTTTTAAGTAATAACTAGAGCTTGAGCTCATGGTTTGTAGGCATTGCTCTAGTAGGTAATACTTACTTGTATATGTTCTCTCGAGAGGATTTTTTGTTTCGACTTTGAATTCTGTCAGTCATTTTAAAAAATATATATATATTGATTTTTTTTGGAACGCGAGATGAATGATCTAAAGGAAGAAGTTGGTATTTGTCTCTGAGAAAGATATGCTATTTGTTAATAGTTGAAGATTTCTTTTTTGTGTATTAATTTAATTCTTTTTTATAAAATAGCCCAAATACAGTCCTTGATGGTTTATCACTGGCCGAAATGTTAAGTCTTCCTGGTAGCAGTACCTTCTTCCGTTTTATAAAGTATTAAAGACTTTTGAGAAACAATAGGAGAGATCCTCAAGGAAGAGAACAAATAAGAAGAATGGGCCATGGCCTCTGCTTATTTGACCTTACACCTATCACCCAGTTTCAAAAGCAGATATAATATTTCAATTCAAAAAAATACTATTTTTGATTTGTTTCGTTCAATTGATTTTGCTGGCTTGGGAAGGCATGGGGTGACGATGACAGAATTTGGAAATGATGCCTTAAACCGGTGAAGACCAGCATTTAATATTGATAAAGTGAATATTTATTTTAATTTACAATATTTTCTTCACTTATAAAACCTAAGATAAACCCTTTCTTTTTTTTTTTTCAAAGGTAATTACATGGATAAGTGGAGAATATTGGTCAGGTTTGACAACTTAAGATGTTATGAATACATGCACAACTTTGTGGAAACGGTACATTAATGCTTTACGTAACATCCGTCGTGGATTACCATCATTTACAAGAGGAAACAATAACAATGATAGATATGACCCCATTACCTCGGTTGTGGAAGTCGGCTCATTCATTATGTTATCAGGGGCTAAGAACCCCTGTTTGCAGTTCTCACAATGTTGCTGCTGTCATAAATCAGAGCTAGCTGTAAAATTAATATATTGCATTATGTAATAGGTAAATTATTTAACTAGTATTAGTATTGAAAAATTTAAAACACAATGCTAATATAGTACCCCGGATTATTATAATTGAGGTAATATCCGATTTTTTTGAAGTGGCATGATTATATTGGGGTATAGCAGAAAATTTTTACAAGTCGTATCCAAATCAGGTAAACAATTTTTATGTCATATGAAATTTGTGAGTGCCAAGTTGTAATTGATATAGAAAGTTTTGTCCTTTTTCATTTTAAGTATTAAACTATTTATTGTTGTTGTTTTTCAAATATTTTTTGAGTTTATTAAGAATTAGCGTGGAGAACATCAAACAACTAAATCAACATGATTTCTTAGTTCTTTAGATAAAAATATATTGGATAATTTTTTAATGGTTTACATGTCTTATACAGGTAAAACTTTTAATTTTTTGATACTAAAATTGTAAAGTTTCTAAATTTTACTAATAGCCTCAATTATAATAATCCGAGGTTCTGCTAACACTAATTAATATTTATACTAGGGTATGGACAATAGAAAAGGTGGAATCTACCAAAATCATGATTTTGAGCTAATAACACTTTACATGTAATTTACCACTTGATAAAATTTTGAGATATTTTCTGTTAAAGTTCTTTAAAAAAAATAGTAAATAGGCAGAGACAATAGAAACAAGGATAACTATAAACATTGCGGATTTGAATTGATAGCACTTCTATATTAAATATGCAATTCATCATGCGAATTAATTTTAGATTAGAAGCTATGTCCACTTGATAAAATCTTGAGATATTTCCTGTTGGTTTAATTTTCTCAAAATCACGATTTTGCAGATTCCCCTTTTTTTATTGTCCATGCCCCCCCATTTATTTCTTTCGAGTGTAGGGTTTGTAGATCCTAAATTTATAATAAACTTAATTGCCAGTTTAATAAATTTTGTAAATTCCATTCGATAATTAGGTAAATATATCGACTCAGCCTGTATCAATAATACTTGATCAGAGTTAAATCATAATGCTAGATAAAACATTACATTAATCTCTGCTTTGAAAATGAAAAAGAATTTGAAAACAAAACACTCTTTAGTCATGAACACGTTATTAGGGTTACTATGACTGATCACTAAAATTGGACCCTTTGTTGTAGTATGCTCCCATATTTGTCACTATTTATAATCAAAAAAATCTTTTTGTATTACGTTTTTTTGCGTCGCAAACAAAATCCTTGTTGATTTTACGACTATCTTTTCTTTTTTTTTTTTAATATTAAAAAATAATGATTAACTCGCCAACTTTTAGTTCTGAACAAACCACTGCCGCAACTACTACCACCGTTAACGCCAGCGCCAACGCTGACACCGACGCCAACGCCACCACTACCATCAATAAAAGATATTCAGCGGCTCACAAACGTGAGCCTTCTGTTCCTCATGAGGTTAAGGAAACATTAGATGCTACTGTGACAGAAACCCAAGATGGTGAACGTTGTCTAAATAACTATATTTTGAGAGAGGTTATTGGCCGAGGGGCTTATGGTACTGTAATTCAGGCTATAGAAAAAGACACTAATGCGCATTATGTATGTAAAAAAAAACAAATTCACTCACTGAACCGAAAAAGGAATCCTTTCTAAAAGGAACAGGATTATTTTTCTTTGAATTATTTGAATTAATAATAAATAGATCGAGATAGTTGAAATTTAATTATTATTTTATTATTATTATTTTTTCAATTCTTTTATTTTAACAAATATATTAATTCATTATATTGTAATAGGCTATAAAAGAATTCAGTAAGGCCAGACTTCGAAAAAGAGATATGGCAAATTATTTTCGTCGTGGCGGCTTTCGAGGTGCTCGTAGGGGTAGGTTTGCCCCTAATCCCAATTTACAAGATAACTCAGATCCATTATACTTAATACGTGGGGAAGTGGCAGTCTTAAAAAAATTAAATCATCCGAATGTTGTAAAGTTGTTTGAGGTTTTAGATGATCCTGAAAATGATTCTCTATACATGGGTATGATAAACTTTAAAATAAAATAAAAAGATTTATCATTTTATCAAAAAAAAAAAAAACTTTATTTAATTTAATATAATTTGTTTAACAGTATTCGAAATGTGTGATAATGGTAATCTTATGAATATCAGCATTAACAAGCAAGCAAAACCATTTTCCGAAGAAAAAAGTCGACTCTATTTTATAGAAATGATTCTAGGTTTTGAATATTGTAAGCAATTATCGCTTTGAATTAATTATATTATCAATCAAAAAAAAAAAAAAAATCATATATATAGAGATTCTTTGCTGTAATGATTTACCAATGAATTTCGACGGTTACTTGTTGGAATCTTATTTCACTATTTAGTGCACGAAAATGACATCATCCATCGAGGTAATTTTTTGAAATTGGATCATACATATTAACATAATTAAAAATAATTATGCTCCCACACATAATTTGTTTGATTATTGATGATGTATATATAATTTATTTCGTTGTTATGTGATTTTGATATTTTCAGATATCAAACCAGATAATCTTCTCTTGTCCAAAGACGATATCCTTAAAATTGTAGACTTTGGTGTATCCGAAATATTTGTTAGGGGAAATGACAAAACGACAAAATCAGCAGGAAGTCCAGCATTCATGGCACCGGTAAATTTTAATAAAGATAATTTTATATATATATATAATTTTTAATTGCATTTTTTTTTTAATAAAATTATTAATTAATACATCTTTTTTTTTTTTTTTTAATAAAAAAAATCTAGGAATTATGTAAAGGTTGAGATAATCAATTAATAAATCAATTATTATTATTATTTTTCAATTAAAAGTATTGAAATTTTCTTTTTTCTTTTTTTTTTTCAGCACATCACGGCGAAATATCAGGAAAGGCGGCTGATATTTGGTCAATGGGAGTAACTTTATATTGTCTAGTGTTTGGCCGTTTACCATTCGAAAAAGACAATATTTTAGAACTTTATGAGTCTATAAAAAATCACGAGTATGTTATTTCATAAGTTTTTAACATTAAATATTTTTTTTAATTACCAATAACAATTTTTTTTTCAATTGAAAAATTTTGAAGTATTCAAATCTCTGGAAATATAAATCCTGATCTAGCTGATATTCTTTATAAGTTGCTTGAAAAAGATCCAGACAAAAGAATTACCATGCATGAACTTAGGGTATATTTTTTCTTCAAGTCAAATTTTTTTTATGTATTGTATATATTTTTTTCTTAATAAAATTTTTTTAGGAACATCCTTGGGTTACTCTTCGTGGAGCTGAGCCTCTTATTTCCACTGCAGAAAATTGTACTGAAATGGTTACGGAAATTACTGATGATGAATTAAGTTCTGCTATTAAACCTATTAGTATTAGGAGCTTAGTAACTTTGGTATGAAAATTCTTTTTATATGAATTTTAAATTGCCTCAATTACAAAAGATTCAACACCTTGCGATTTCCTTTTTTAATGATCTTCTTAAACATATCTTTTGTTAGATAACTGCTGTTAAGAAGTTTAAACGCTTGTCGCGGACTCAGAATCATTACCCAGAGGCATTAATACGAATAAATGACGATAAAGAAGCTGTAGCTGCAGAATAAGCCAAATATTTAGTAATCATTTTTTTTTTTCTTAATTGTAATTTTTGGTAGATAATATTATCTTTATTATGTAATAATTTTATTTATTAGTTTTTTTTATTTAATAAATTATATTTACTTCCAATAACTTTTTCAGCATCACTAAGATTAATTCAATAATAAAATACTATCAGGGCTTTTTTAATTTTTGGTTTGGCTTTTTTTTAAACCCCCCCCCCCCCCAACATTTAAAATCTTCATACATACATATATATGTATTCGTTGCAATAAGCTATCATTTAATTTTTTTTTCTACTAATTGCAATTTTTGTATAAATATTTCGTTTATTAAAAAAAAAATAATTACTATAAATTATTAATATTTTTATAAAAATATTGTTGAAAGAAATATTATGTATGATATTAAAAAAGCAAACCTTAATAATTTATGATAATTCCAGGTAACATTAACCATATGAATAATAATTAATTTAGTTAATTAAATAGATAATTATTATCTTGAGACTGTAGTCATCGTTGTCATAATTATCAACTCTTACGAAGTTCCACCAGAAGCAATAAATTTTTTCAATTCTTCAATATTTTTTTCATAATCAACAGTACGAACATGACTTTTTTGTACCAATTCCAATAGAAATTTAACTCGTTGATCAACAATAGCAGGAACGCGGCCACTACCAAACAACCATTTTCCTTCTTGTTTAACAAATAATTGTCCTAAACTTTCAAGCTCTTGTTCATATTTTTTAATTTTATCTGTTTCAAATTCAAAAAGATATTTATATGTTTGAAGTTCCATTGTTGCTGCAAATAATTTGTCGGATATGATTTGTTGAAAAGCTACTTGATAAAGTGGCTTTCCTAATCTTATAAAATCAGGTCGTCCTATATATATCAACATTATCATTATTAGAAGTGTGGAGGTGACATCGTCAATGTTATTAATTATGGAAGAAGTCATTATTAATATTGTTATTATGTGGAATATAAATATTTCACAATTTAAAAAAAATAAATGTCACCATCTAATTGTGAAACTGAAATCAATTCGGCTTGTTCCATAGCCCTTATTGAGGTATCATCACCTTTAAATATTGATGAATATTTAATTTTATCATATGGTACCTAAAAAAAAAAATTAAAAATTAAAAATCGATGATGCATAATTATTGATTATTAAAAAAAAAATTTATTAAAAAAAAGTACAGGTTCTCCTTTAGCCAAATCTTTCACTATTTTCCAAAATTGTATACTACTCCAAGGAATAGTTTTGGCATCTTCAACATCATCACCAAAGCCAAGTTTACGAATTTCAATAACAGATTTGAATATAAGTTCATTCAATGCCTCTATATTATATATATGTGTGTGTGTGTATGGTATTGTTTAGGTAAATAAAAAACAACATTATTGTCGCTTATTTAAAATATATATCATTTACCTTGAGAACTTTGACCACTACTTATTTTATTAATAAATAATTTCAAATCAGTTAAACGGCCACCAAGTGCATTTACAGCCCCATCAAGTTCTTTATCTTCTTTATCAGGTACGTGACTCTTTACCAAACTAATGGCTCGTTCATATGGTGCATCAGAAAGATTAACAAAATTAAATGTTTTGTTTGGAAGTGCTTATTGAATATATATATATATATATAGTGATTATTTTTAACTCAAATGCATGAAAATATAATGATGATGACAACAACAACAACAATGATGATGCAATAAATACCTTTATTTAAATGCTTTACAATACCAACGTTTGAACCAACGAAAACCACATGAGCAACTCTATTTTCTACAAGGATTGCAGCTAATTTAGCCAAATGATCCCAAAGTTCATGATTTTCCTTATTTTTAATCATATAATCATCAATCACAACAATTGGAATATCGGCTGGATCATAAGATTCAACAATTGATGTCGTGATAAAATCATGCTTCTTTTTTTGATTATAACGAGTACTTTTCCTTAACTCTTCAGGTGCTACATCATGTAAAGCAATTGCCAATGCATCGAGAATCTTTTTGATTTCAGAATCAGTCGTTGAAGAAAATCCTGAAATATTGAATCAATAATTATGGTGATAATAAGAAATGCATACAATCATATAATATATTTAAATATAGTTATATAAATTACCGGTCTTTTGACCAATCGTTGCACTTGCCAATCCATCAATTAAATTTGACATGGATACCAATGTACTAAATACAGGGAAATAACCAACTTGTTTTGCCAATTTTAATACAAGTTCACTTTCATCACGAGAATTTTGAATTTCATCACACTTTATAAAAAGTTTATTTCTAGAAAAATTTTTTTTTAATATTTAATTTAAATGTTTCAAAAAAATTTTAAAAGAAAAAAAATTTTTAAAATATTACCTTTTATTTTTTAAAGCTTTATCAATGAATCCACTTTTTCCACTACCAGTAGGACCCAATAATACAATAAATGTTTCTATTTAACAAAAATATGTAATTATATATTTATGGAAGGGAGAAAAAAATATCAATAAATCAAATAAATGAAAATAAACCTGGTGGTTCTTTCAACCAAATATTTAATTTTATTTCTTCTTGTTCTCTTTCAACCCAATTACTAAGATAAGATAATGAATTATCTTCATTTTTATTACGGTAAGTTAATAATCTGTCAATAGTTTCACGTCTAAGCCATTGATAAATACGATATTCTTGAGGGTTGAATCGTTGTGTGATTTTTGAAGTTATAAAAAAGGTTCGGATCGGATCAAAGCTATTTTGTTTTAAAAAATATTTAAAAAATTAAAATATGCACATAATTTGATCGATAATAATTTATGAGTTTATAGATTACATTGTGTAAGTAATACCAGCAATAGCAGCTGCTATTAATGGTATCTAAAAAGACAAAATAAATAAAATATTAAAAAAAGACAAAAAGAATGAGGATTGTACTCATTGATTAAAGATTAATGAAAAAAATTTTTTTTACCGAAGTTCTTGGATGTGCAATCATCCAGCTATATATCATATTTGATTTCTATAAAGATTAAAAATTTCTTAATTTAATATCTTCTTTTTCCTCATTAATCAGCGCCCATTCCTTTTCTCTATTAATAAATAATACTTACCAATGTTTTATCATAGACAATATTTAGTCTCGTGCCATCTGTAATTAAACCGTGAACACAATTTCTAGCACTTGTAGCAGATCTCATTTTGGAGAATTGTATCAAAGCAAATCGAGGGGCATCTTTTGAAGATGGTTGCGGTAGGATTATATCACGAATTAATCCATATGGTCGAAATATTTGATACAAAGTTTCCTATATATATATATATGATTTTTTTGAAAGAAGAGGAATAAAATTATGATTCATTTTTACGAAATAATCAATAAATTATTACTATTATACAATATATATATTTATGATGTGTATACGTACGATCGAAACATCTGGTCCTTGAAATTCAACATGAAGTCGACTATTAATATATTCAAGTTATATTTCAATATTTATTTTATATATCAAAATGGATAAATATTCTAGTAAATAGATTATAAATACCTTGCGGGAAATCTATTGGCCAAATCTTCAATAAAAGGTTCGCCCTGAAAGTATACACAAATAATATATTAATAAGCATGTATTTATTGGAAGTAAAAAAATCAAAATCAAAAAAATACTAACTTTAACCATATAAACTTCGAGCGGTTTAAGATTAAACCACGGTATAACGTTTTTAGCCGATATATAAGCTTCAACATTCTTATAGATTTCATTTAATGCTTCGGATTTTCGTGCAGGATCAACCGAAAATGTAAAATTAACAAACATTCCGCCTTCTCTTTTTCTAAATCAATCAATTAAATTCATTGAAAAATTTACAAGAGTTTTTTAAAAATAGATCAAATATTATTATAGGATCGAAATAATTAATATTTACCTAGGTTCCACACCCTCAATCTTAAAATTAAATGGCATTTCAGTTTCTTGTGGAATCCATTTTCCAGATTTAACTTTGGTTTCAAGTCTTTTTTTACTTGTTCTGACTATATAATGTCTAAGGTCAAATATTCCAATTCTAAGTGGATACACATTATCATAATATAAGCTACTATGTTGCGATTCCTCTGACTCTGACTGGAAAAGTCATATAATAGTTGTTTTTAATCATTAATTAAAGAATTAGTTGATTGAATGTTATTCAAGTAAAAAAATACATACAATAACATCTTCAGTATTGGCAGAAGCATCACTGAAAGTGAAAAGAGCTGCTTGATGTACTCTTTTCAGTGGACGTGAATTGTGTGAAAATTGATTGTAATAATTAAATTTTACAAAATTTTTGTAAGTAAATCGACTCTTTAGTATTTGATTTATCATATTAATATTTTTAATTGACGAATTTTATCTTTTATCAAAGATAAAAAATTCATGGGACAACAAAAATTCCAGGGGTTAATTAAAATAGATGAAAAAATCCAAGATGCCAGTAATAGTAATACTAACAATAAATTCACATCTTGTGTAAAACAAAAATAACAACTTTTGGAGATGCTTATCAACGCGTTATTATTTTTTTTTTTTTTATTTTTATTTTTATTTTTTTATTTTTTTTCAATTTCTTTTCTCTTCTTTTTCTTCAATTTGTTCAATTATATTGCGTTAAATTCACTTATTATTACGAAGCTATATCTTATCCAGTAGCAAAATAATTAAAATAAGTTAGGGATAATAAAAAAAAATTTTTTTCTCATGATTTCTGGCAAAATGTTTTAGGCCTTAAACCACATTTTTTGGAAAACCCCATATTAATTAATATATATTAAAGAAAAAACAAAACACACGTCCTCCATCTTTTAAAAATTATAGTAATATGAATCACTTGATGAAAGAAGATAGAATGTGAGAAGATGCAGTCGACGATATTTATTGTCTTTTCAATGTTTAATTAAAAATATTAAACTGAACGTCATAGATTCTTTTAAAGATTTAATATTAATAATTGCTTAATGTAAGTGGCATATTAATTAATTCAGTCGATCATTATTATCATTATTGACCAATTACATATGCGTCAATATTTAAAATTTTTTTTAAAAAAATTATCATAGCGTCGAGAAAGGAAAAAATTTTGAAAATGAAATTCTTAATATTTTAAGAAACAAATGTGAACTTGTTTATCGCGTAGGGTAAGTTTTCACTTACTAAGTAATTGTTAAGTTATTATGTATCTGAAGTTACACTGCCACTAGGGGTAAATCGAAGAACTGGAAGCGCTTCGTGGCCACAACTTATGAAAGTTACCAGTTAGGTAACTAGACCTAATATATGGTGGACGATCTGTTGTGAATGTCCTTCTTCATTCCCGAAAAGATGCACCATATATAATACATAAGACTCGCTCTGGCTTCAGTGGTGAATAGGATATATGAAACTGAAAAACTGGAAGCTCTTCGTGGCCACAGGTTATCCGTGAACATCCTTTTTCAGTTCTTGATAATGATGATGCAATTACTTATTTTATTACTTTTTTTTTGATGATTAGGGGACCAGGAGATAAAGGTGTAGACTTAATTGGAATTTTTAAAGATGTCGTATTTGTAATTCAGTGCAAGGTATTAATCTTTAATATTAATATTAATATATATATTATATATATGTATATTTAGAATAATAATATTAATTAAACATTTTTTGTTAGAACTGGATTAGTAAAGTTGGAGTTAGAGAAGTTAAAAAATTAAAGGAATTAACTAATTGTTGTTCAATAAATATGGGCATTTTAGTTGTTTCTAATAGGCATGGGTTTTGCAGGTCCGCAATAAAGGAAGCTATGTCATCTGAAGATATAATTTTAACAAATAAATATGATATTCTTTCATATATGACTATACATGCAGCCCAAATTGGTTTGGTGATTCTGATGGTCAAAATTATTCCAATTTTGATGGTAGAAAGTAGAAATTAATTACAGCATTCACTAATAAACGAATTATAAGCTCCAACAATTCTTTCTTTAATTTTAATTTTAATTTTAATTTAAATTTTAATACATTACTTTTAACTATAATAATCCTTTTGTTAATTTATATAATTTTTTTCTTGTAAATATTTTCTTTTCATTTCCTTTAAATAAAATAATTAATATAAATATAATTAAACAAAATGTTTATGTTGTTATTTATTTCTTATCCAACTTTGCGACATGTATTGGTGTATTGTCATCCTGAAATTTGTATGCTCTACCACCAAATTTTGTTCTTTTTAACGACAACGAATTTCTTAATCAATTTTTTATTGTTGTTTAATAACAAACTCTTTACTGATAGAAAAGACATAAAATTTCGACTAGAACTTAAACTACAAAATAACAGTAAAATTCTGCGAAAATACAAATTCAAAAAATATCCAAAAATGAAGTTTGTTTTGTTTTTTAACCAAGTAATAAACATGAATGATAGAAGTGTGGAATTTTATATAAATATTCTTAGACCCGAGTTACATGATGATATAAATTTTATTATAGTTATTATGTAGGTTTTTGTGTAATTAATAAAAAATGAGGTTTTGATACTTTCTTCCAGGCAGTGTACGTAATAATAACTAGTAAAACTCATAAATCTCAAATGAATAGAACTCATGACCCAATAAAATTTTTGGGAAAAGGGCTCTATTGGTTTGTTGTTTTACCTTTAAAATTTCATTTAATAAAATGATTTTAAAATACACGTAGAATCACTGGTTCTATACTTTTAGTAAGGTGGTAAAAGGCTGTGATTGTGGGTCTCGCTCACACCATATAATTTTGTAGAACATTTTAATAGATTAATAGGTTATTTATTTCAAATTTAAATGTAATCATTTCAAGTAAAGTTTCTTCTTGAATACCGATCAGGGCCAATATCTTTTAGGATTTATCAAATTGTGCCATTCGCATTTTTAATAATCAACTAATCCGTCTCGGCCTAATACTTTTCGGCATATCAATGGTATTGCCGTTATCATCTTCAGGATTTATTAAGTATTTTTCGCAGAAATTATCTGCAACTGCAGCATATTATCCTTCAATTCATCAATCCAAACAACAATCTTTTGGATTGATTTCATCAAAATCGGCAATTAAGGAGGGATATGTTTTGATTTAGAGGAGGGACAAAAGTAAAGTAGATAATTTTGATAATTAATAAAATTACTAGTAATTTTTTTCATATCAACTAAATTTACATGACTCTTTACCTAATTGGCATCGTGATGACAAATTGGGTGGTAAAGTGGACTATATATATATTAGCATTTATTATTAGTTGCTATAATGATAGTTAATAATAGTAGTATTAATACGATGGCTATTTTAATTGGCCATTACGATGATTTTATATTTACAGAAATAGTATTAAGGAAATGATTGTAATAATAACTTGGTTTGTATTTTACAAAAATAAATCATTTATATAAAATTTTTAAATCTAGTTGTTACATTATAATAAATTGATTAGTTAATTAAACTTTAAATTAAACAGGTATTAAATCTAACTATTACGTAATGTAATTGATTGATTTAATAAAAATTTTTTAATAAAAATATTTTTTTTCTCTTAATAAGGTGGATCTATCACTACTCAAAGTTGGAGTAACAGGTTGATCAAAAACGGCAGATTTTCTGTGATCTCTAAGAGTTGCTATAGCAGTGTCTTCCAATGTGTACGGTATGACACCTAAATCTTCAAAAGTTTTTACATCTTTACTGTTTGAAATCTTTTCATCAATAAAATATCTTACAATTTCATCAGGTGATATAAATGGCCATGGTGATAATCGTAGTAGGTTGGTGATGGCAATTGCTAGTGGTTTTGGTACATTGATTCGTGTACGTCTAGTTATTAAAATTTCATCTGCAATATCATAAAGTTGATTCATTGTGTATTCTGTTGGACCAAATAACTCATAAGTTTGTCCTATGGTTGATTCATCTTTTAACATTAATTCAAGTGCATGCGCTACATCGAGCACCTTTATTTATTTTGAGAAAGGAAAGAGAAAATAAATAATTATTATGATTTCCTGAGTAATTTTTTTTTGATAAAAAAAAACAATAAATAAATATTTGTCTTCATACATTAACGGGCCTAAATCTCGTTTTTCCTTTATTAACAGTCAATTCAAATTTACCTAAAACTATAAAAATAATAATAGTTGGAGTTATTATTAATAAATTGTTTTCATAACAAGATCCAACTGAATCTCTTGTAGGTGATGATCCAAGGGAAAAAAAAGTGTTAAATTATTTCTAACCTCCCATCCTATTCAAAAATCTATCTTCATAACCAAAAACAATACTAGGGCGAACAATTGTAACATCTGGAAATATTTCTCTAACTGCATTTTCACCCAGTGCCTAAAATAACAATCGATCAATAAATCAATCAATCAATCAATCAAATAATATAGTTATTAATAATGTTCATTACTTTTGTTTTAAAAAATTCTGATTGAGAATTTATATCAGCATTTAAAGCTGATACATGAACCAATCTATCAACACCTTCTTCACGACAAACTTCTGCAATAATGGCTGCACCTTGAACATTTACTTTTTCATAAGAAAAATTTCTATATTGAAAATAAAATATAATTGTATAAATATCATAACCATAGTAATCATAGTTATATTAACATTGTGCTTAGAATTAGAATAAGAATTTGAATTAAAATTATATTATGTACTTTGTTTCATAATCTCTTCCGATTAAATTATAAACAATATCTGAATGTCTAACAGCTTCAGAAATAGTTTCTTTATTACGAAGATCGAATTCCTTTTTTAAAAGTGAAAGTAAAAATATAATTTTTTAAGAAAATCGAAATTTTTCTCCTACTAATAAAAATTCCAAGATTAATAATAAAATTACCAATGGAACTATTTGCCCTAAATCACCAGTTACTTTTAAAAATCTTTTGTCATTTTCATCTCGATATGGAATAACAACTTGTGTTCCATGTTTTGCTAAAATTAAATATAATTGTTATTATTTTTGTGATTAAGAAATATAATAATAGAATGATTGATTTTTTTTTTTTTTTTTTTAAGAAAAAGCTCACCAAGTTTGCTGACAACATAACGACCTATGAAACCTGTACAGCCAAACACAGTTGCTATATGGCCACTAACTGAAGAACTATAATAAGAATTAATTGGATTATTATAGTATTTATTTTTCCGTAAGTAAAGAATGACGATTAATTTAAGATACTTACCGACCACTATGACCATATTTAATAATTGTTCTCCCTGTTTTTTGTCTCACAACAACATCGTGAGCAAATCTCTAAAAACGAGGCATAGATAATTTCTTAAAGAAATCAATTCATTATAGTTGCATTGAATGTAAAATCGCAATTCTTTTGTAAGTAGAATATTTGATTAAAGACAAACCTTTTGATTAAAAATAGGAATTACAAAATTCTTACAAGCAATTGAATTAATATTGGTTAGATTTTTACAAAGATCTATGGTTTATGTATATATAACATTTTAATGAGATTAATATCATTCAAATATATATATATTCAAAGGGGTTTAAAAATTTTATAATTGGGTAATGAACAACTTACATGCTTTATTTATTAAAGAATGTTGTTGATACATTATTATCATTTATCAAAATTTAAAAAAATTTTTTTTTATATATACTATTTTGTATATTTGGCAATCTATGGTAGTACAGAAACATTATATAGTTAATAAATTCGCGTAATATTTTATTTTATAAGAATATTGAAAAAAAAATTTTACCTATTAACAACTAGGTAAAGTTAATAGACAATAGGCTGAACAAAAAGATTATAAAATTTGCCCTCTAACATAAGTTTCCGGATCCTTTACGAATTAAAAAATACTGATATAATTAAATATTTTATGCAAAAAATAATTATGGCGAAAATTTTAGTTTATACATTATAATATTTATAGGAAATTATCATGCAGGTATTTTTTATATTTAAATCTAGTTAATAAACATGTACGAACCGGAGATGATGAAGTTGTTAATGATAGTAATTATAATGATCACGATAATAACACAAGTATGAATGTTAAAATGCTTTTTTTAGATCAAAAACCACTTAAAAAGAACTGCACTTACTGTGGTTGAGAAAAAGATTACAAGTTCCAATAAAACCATCCATGTAAATGCAAGCGAGATTGAGTTTAATAATTCAAGCAAATAGTGAAGAAATAATAATAAATCTAGTGACATTTATAAACAAATAGAAAGTGCATATTCAGAAAGCTCTAATTTTGAATTGGCTGGAGAATACGTACAATTGATAAAATTTTCTTCTTGATGATCTTCATCGCGTGATTGATTGCCGATTTATCTTATGATTTTGCTTACATGCTGGGCATAACGACAAGTAGTGAATTGATAACCATCACTATATCCATCATCATTGTGTCGCAAAAATTAGTAAGGAGATTGCTTTAATGCCATTTTGATAATGTGAGAGCGATTATTTTTTGGATTTTCAGTTAAGGTATTCATACCAGTTTAGAACGTTTTAGAAGTTTGAGCTCGGGATATGGGCATGAGTTTATTAGAAACCATAGAAAATTTCTCAAAAACATAGAGTGAGTTGCTGAATAATTCAGAGGATGGAAGTGGAAGAAAATGGAAGGCGAATCTTCTAGATTTTAGCCAGGATGATGAGAAAGAGAAGGAAAAAAAACCAAGACAACTCATAGCACTTTTTTAAAGGCATTTATCACCAAGTCAAATTGTCAATTATTGGATTTATTCATATATTTTTAGTTTGAGATTAAGCAAATAAATCTTTAATTGATTTTTCAATGATAATTACAAATTACTGAATTTTTCTTTAATTAATTTTTTAATATCAATCTAGCAAATCACACCAGACAATTAATGAAAGTTTTTCTTTCTAGTTGGTGAAAGTGATTTGATGTATTGGTTAAGTTTCTCTATCTGGTAAAATTGAAAATTTTCAATGTTAAAAATATATAGAAAATAAAATTAAAGAAGTAAAAATCTTTTTATAATTTATTATCATCAATTTCTTTATCTCTTCATACCTTTTTTAATTTAAAATTATCATCATCATTTTTATTATTGTTGCCATTGTTATTATTATCCATATTATTATCATCACCATCTTTATTATAATTAACCAACATACTATGTTCCAGAATGTGCGACAATGTTATATTCCAACCAGGTCGTAATCTCTCCAATTCTTTAGGATCTTTTTTCCTTAATTGCTGATTACCACCCGTAACCCATATACAATACCAATAATGTTCATATTCACAATCAAACTGTTCACTATTAGATTGTAATAAATTCCAGATATCATCAACATTCTTACAAGCCAAGACTTGAAGTGATAAATCTTTCTGCTCATAATTATTTTCTTGCAATGCTCCAATTTCCTTTTGTCTCGCAACATTTCTAAATCCACTTACTAAACAATCTCTAAAACACATATCACATCTTAATTCATCAATTCCATAATCATAATCATATTTCCATCCAAATAATGATAAACATATGGCTGATGCTAAAACAAATTTATTAATTCCTTTTACTTCTGGTGGAACTACCGAATCCATTGTTTCCATAAATTCTTCATTCTTAAATTATATATATATATTAATGAACTGATCTTATATGTCAAATAAATTTTAATTAGCAAGTTTTATGGCTTACTAGGTTAGCTTTAACCACTGGTATTTTATCACCCAATTTTATTAAATTTAATAATCTGCTTTGAAATTCTCTTATTATTTCATTGCTTGAAAGTAAAGGAAATGTGTAAATTGTTTCTAATTAAAGCCATAATTTAAATAATAAAATATGTTAAGTTTTTATAAAATGATATTTATTTATTTGAAAAAGAAATTATAATTAAACCTTCACACGGTGATTCACGCCATGGACACAATGATGTATGAGTAGTTGTAAGTGCCTCGAAATATTGTTTTAGAAGACTTCGATCTTTTAGAAATACATATATATACATATAATATGTAAATCATATGTTAATAGGTCGATCATTCGGTCAAACATTGTTATATTAATGTATTTTTTATTATTACCAATATCTACATCTTCTGATGTATTAACCAATAACCTCTCTCCACAATATTCACATTCAAGACAATCCGTATCAATATTAATCCATCCATATCTAGCACATTCAGTAGGACTTAATAATGTTGGTTTGTCAAACCAATTTACTTCGTACATAAAATGTATTGTTAAAGATTATTAATTTTGATCATAATAAACATTTAAGGAAAAACAAAGGTTATTAATAATATTATTATTTATTTGTAAAGGATATAGAGAAAGTTTTAAGTCGATTCATATACGCTTCTCTACTTATAGGCATATATAATTTTGAATTTGTGAATTTTTTCTGTATAGATCTATAAGGAGTATAGACGGCACGTTTTCTATTAAAATATTCAATACCAATATTAATAACAATAATTATCACTATGTCTATGTTTATAAATTATATTAGTACATAACGAAAATTCAAAGCACAGATTACATGGCTAGTTTTCTAACCTTAATTCGGTGTTTTCTTCATCGGAACTTTTCTTTGATTCTTGAAGACTTTCTGCTAATGATAACATTAAATCGAAACTTTCATGAATATTTATATCGTTATATTCATTCTCCATGATTTAAAGACAATATTATAAATGCGTATATTAATATTGTTGGGAATTGAAGAAAAATTTTATTATTATTATTATAATTATTATTTTGGTCAATGATCAAAAATCGGTGTTTGTATTTGGATAACCACGTGATTAAACATACATATAATCAATCGCGTAACAAAGTAAGAAAGAATAGTATATAGTAAAATAATAAAAATACAATAAATAAAAATACAAGAATAAATAAAAAAAATACAATAAATAAAGGGTAAAATACAACACGAGAATAAATAAAATAAATAAATAAATAATATAATGGATAAGTAAAAAAAATAGAGATTATCGTTGTCTATTTAATCTCTCGTCACGCTTCTTTTTCCAAGTTTCAATGATAACACTTTTAACTTTATCTTCCACCTCCATCCAATTTTGTTTAGCCAATCTAACAATTAAATCAACCTGATCCCTTGTATAAGTGAAATTAGCAAAATTACAAAATTTTTCAGTACAAGGTATAAATTTATCATCAACTTTTGGATTTTCCAAGAATGGTAAATAAACAAATTTACAAGAATCCTTCCTGAACACGGGTGTAAACCCGTCACCAGAAATAC